TGAGCATCTGACACACAGTTTAACAAAGAAAAAGTAAGAATGAGTATGAGTCACATAAATGTTTCTAAATATGGCGAGGAACAAAGATTGTGAGACGAAAAATGAATATAGTTGGATGAAGGGAGTAGTATTTTCTTTCTTTCTTAGCCTCCTTCATTATGTGTTCTTTCATTCCCTGAATAGGTAATATTTTAATACAACGAGCTGCTGCTAGCAATGGATTCAGGTCTGCTTTGGATCGTATTTGGTATGGGCCTGACAATAGTCATGAAGACTTATGCAAATCACTTTTGAGAAGCTTTGAAATGGTAAATAGTTCTTTAACCAGAGTAACATTTTTTTGGGTATTTTACCTACAACGTGGATTACTTGACTTTTTTGGTATTTTAACTCCACAGAAAAGTTGGAAATGTTTACTGTTTTGCTTACATTTATAATAATAGATACGCCCTTTGGCTTATTACATATTCCCTCCGTTTATTGACTGACCCCTTTACACTTTATGATGTTTGACTGACCCCTCTACAAGAGGTGGCTTGGCTATGTTATTATGTTACAAATGGTTGATGAAAAATTGAAAATATTTGAGGAAGCTAAGGAAATAAGGTTTTGACTGATCTGCTAAAAATGAACAGGACCAGACTGGTAAAACAAAATGGAGTATGTGATTTCAAAGAAACTTTGGGTGTATGTACTACCTCTATGTTTTAGGGAGTAATTGCTTTTCTGAAAAACTAGACAGTTCAGTAAAAACATGTTTACAACAATAAAAACATTATCCTAGTGCCTTAGCGGTTGTTTCCCGGTGACCCATAATGAACATTGCAAGTTGCATTGACTAATTGTTATTTCACTGTTAAAAGAAGCACAAATAGTTCAATGAGCCATTTTGCTTTCTTTCATCATAACCCAAATGTAGGGGTACCCTTCCACCGGACATGCATTAAGCCACAGTAATCAAATTCTTCCCCAAACCCCCGAAGGACACTCTCCGTCTCCAATTTTTCAATAGCCCAACTTCATCCTCAATCTTGATCTCACCATAGCAGGATTCCAATTTTTCAATCGCTGCACCAGAGGCTCTCGAACCCATTATAGTTAAGAGACTGGCCTGAATTCCCACCATTCACGGTCACCGACCGAAACCAAATTCAGAAGAGCTGGGAGAGGTAAAGAAACCTCAAACAGTATTAGGGAGAGAATTGCATAAAAATTTATGTATATTTTGTTTGCAGTAATGGTGTAATGCTTTAGTACTATCATCAGATGGTACTAAAAAGTCTAAAATTGAGTAATTTGCATGAGTAGAGTTTGATGGACATTGTTCATCTGGTGAATTTCTATTACTAAGCAAATTGTCCCTTGTAGATTGGTTCTTTTAATTTAATTTGATTTATTTTCTTCGGTTACTGGCTTACTGCTCCTTGTGAAGAAGCAAAGTGAAATGTGCCATAGCTATTATGCTAAGGATCTCTTTTTTTTTGGGTATAATTGCAGTGTGTATCCATTGTAGGAGACAGAGATAGTAGATGGTGCCAGGACGAGAAGAGAGCGCTGGAAGAGCATTGTGGTATGGGATTTAAATTTTTTGTGTTGCAATTTACTCCATTTTCTATTTTTGCTTGATTTGATATACATATGGTAAGTAAGGTTGCTACTTGCTAGGAGTGGTTGCTCTTGTATTTGAAAATGCATGCAATTAAAAGTCATTAAATCTGAGGGGAAAAAATCGTTTCCTCTAATATAATAAGTTGTTTTGTTGATGAGATGCATTCTTTCGTACGTCCCCCTTTTTGTTGCTACCGTTTTGGATTTTTGGCAATGGAAGGGTATACTCTTTTTTGCTTCCAGTGTTGATTTTGGCTTTGCATTTGTTTTGACAGATGAGTTTAGGTCTTCTTGGAATGATTGGTGGGCAAAAGAGAAGAAAAGACTGTGATTTAATGTTATTAGGTTTTGGATGGGTAAGGTTATTCTGACTTAATTTAGATAAACTTGATTAATTATACTTGGCACAGTAGAGGATTTGTTTAAGAAAGCTGGAAAGCCAACCCAGATCATTTTTCTTTAGCAAACTTTCTTTTGTAAAAATTTGCAGTGTTTGGATAGGCACGGCAAGGAGTCAAAGCAATGCCAATTTGAAGCTGAGGAGCTTAAAAAGTTCTGTGATATAGAAGTTTAATGACAAGCTGTTTTCAACATACTTTATTGATGATGATCCTAATTAGTTACGGAGTACTAAATTATTTTAATTTATTTTAGATTTAAACATATTTTTTCTAACATTATTTTATATTTTTAAATAAAAAACTATATAAATAAATTATTTAATACATTATACTTTAGTAAAATTGGATTTTCTTTGGAAAAAATCATATCTCTAGGCTAAGGTTGGAAGAACTTGATAAGAAAAAAATTTCTTTAGTTTTATTGAAACTAAATGAAAAACATAAATAAAGAGAACTCATTATAGAAGTGTTCTCTTATCTCTCCTCTAAGTACATCTTTTCTTCCATAAAACTTTCCATCTCTCTCCCTCAACATCATCTTATTCTCTCTTCTTTACTGTATCATTAGAGATGTCCTTATAGGGGTGAACCTATTTAATTGTTGAACTTCCTTTGACTTGGTTTTAGGACGAGATTAAAAAAAACATACTCCCTCCGTCCGGAAATATTCTTCCCACTTTCCTTTTTGGTCTGTCCGGAAATATTCTTCTCATTTCCTTTTTTAGTGTGCTTTTTAAGGATAAATTTCAATAATACCCTCCTATTTTATCACTAATCTATTTTTTTAGTACTTTTTTAATAACAAAAAGAGATTTAAAAGTTTATAGTATGTGCATTTTTGAAAATTTTGCATTTTTTTAACTATTCCTTAATAAGCGTGCCAAGTCAACACGGGAAGAATATTTCCGGACGGAGGGAGTAGTTAACAGAGCAATCAAGAAACTCGGAAATTATATAATCTCAATCAATTAATACTAGTATATGATTGTTAGTACTAATAAGTGGGGCGGACTCTCACATCATCCCAACCTCTGCCACATCATCATTCGTTTCTTATTCTCCACCAAGCGAAAACACCTACAATGATATTGCCCTCTTGCTCCAACTCTTTTTTATTTTACATTGTATATCATTTTTAATTAAAATTTAAATAAGTAAAATTAAAATACATATAATTAAAATAAGAATGCTGACAACGACACTCTTTGTCTAAAAGAAAAATGTGTAATTGAAATAAAAATTTAAGTAAATTCTATAATTAGACTTTTATAACATGAAGTTTTCCGTATTTAGTCATCGACTATCAAATACTACCTCCGTCCTAGTGTATTTGTCCAGTTTGACTTTTTCGAGTAAAACTAGACAAACTCTGAGCTCCAATTACTCTTAATTTATATTACATATTAGCATAATGAAATACAATTTTGAAAGTTCTCAATGCGATAAATCCAAGAAAGTCATTTTTATGCTAAAATACATGACGGTTTTTTATTTAATTGAAGCTCAAAATTTGTCTAGTATGACTCGAAAAAGTAAAACTGGAGCCTTAGCAGCAATGACGACTATTAACTCAATTAATGAAAATAAGCAAACAAGTTATGAAAAGACTACAATAATAAAAAGATAAATTATTTTAAAATGGAAAGAGTATTTATTTTATTTATTATTTTTATATTAATTTCAAAATTCTTACATTTTTGAGTCAAATTTCCCTCCAATACGCCGTAGACTCTCTTTGATACATGGAATTTAAATTCTAGAATTGAAATTAGGGATAAAAAATCGTGGAATTAGATTGGTAGTGCAAAAAATAAATTAAAATTGAAAAATTTAATTTCATTTAAATAAATTACATAGAATTTTAATTTTTAATTCAGTTTACTAATGAAACCTTATTTTCATTAAATTCTACCCCTCAATCCAACTCACGCCTAATAGTCTAACACCATCCTTAAATTAAATGATTTTTCATTTTTTTCATTATATTCGTTTTTATTTATTTCTATGTTTTCTATGTAATAGATTAATGGACTAAAAATCAAATTAGAAAAAAGGATTTTTGGATATCACATTTCCAGCAATTCTTCTTCCCAATCTAGGACCTTTCTCCACTGATGCATTGTGTCCTTTGTTAGATTTTGGATATCCATGCACCTTAAAACATCTCTCAAGGCTATGTCCATAAACCTTACAATGTTGAGAAAAGTACTTAGACTTCTTTCCACTTGGAGTGATACCAAACACAGGCTTATTTGAACCAGAGGTGTGATGCATAGATGCCAGAGCACTGGATTCAGAGACCACTGGTGTGGATGTGATTTAATTTTTTCTGAACTTCATCTTGTGATATCAGTTTATATGCTTGATTCACACTCGGAATAAGCCTCATCATCAGTATATTTCCTCGAGCTGTCTTAAAACAATCATTAAGTCCCATTAAGTACTGCATCAGGTGTTGATTTTGAAGCAATTTGGAATAGCTCTCAGCTCCATCACATTTACAGTGAGGCAAAGTTACCATAGTCAGATAAGTGTCCCAAAGCCCCTTCAATTTAGTAAAATATTCACTCACAGAATCCGATCCTTGAACCAGTGTAATTATCTCCTTATGTAATTGAAACAGTCTAGGTGCATTGGTCTGACTGAATCGCTCATCCAGATCCTCCCATATCTCATGTGCACTATCATAATACAAAATGCTACTTGCAATTCCAGGTTCAACTGAGTGCAAAATCCAAGAAATTACCAGATTATTGCATTGCTTCCCTTGATTGAGCAGAGGAGAATTCGGTTATGGTGCCTTCGAGCTCCCATCCACAAATCCAAGCTTGTTTCTCGCACTCAGAGAAATCTCAGCCGATCATTTCCATTGTGCATAATTGTCGCCATTCAACTTCTGAGAAGCAAGAGAGAAATTAGGCGTCTTCGTTGGATGTAGATACAGCTCGCTCTGTGGATCGATTGAAGAACGAGTCACTGGTTCCGCCATGCCTTCGAATCAGATTTTGATTTGGAATGAGGAATGGAATCGAGTTTTGACAAATTCAGGTTGAATCGGAAATGATAACACCATTAAAGCATGGCTCTGATACCATGTTAAAGCTGTGAACAGAAAGAGAACAGAGAAGAACTCAGGGAAGAAGAAAATGGAAATGTTATTCAAGCTTCATATTCTGATCCGTCGTCCCAGAGAAAAGGAAACAAAGTATATATATACACACCATACTGAGCTGCCTAACTAACCAAAAATATCTAGCCTAACAAACCAAAAATATCTAAGCTAGAAAGTAGGGACAATTAGTTAGGAGAATTGGACAACTGGCATGGACATGTGGCATATCACTAATGTATCTTCACATTGATCGAGCTCAAATGAAAGACATAACAGATCTAGATAGATCTTGTCACCATCGTCATCGAAGCTGAGGGAGGACATCGCCATTTATTCCTGCTGCTGCTGCTGCTAGATATATAGCTGCTCTTGATCTCTGCATTCATATATACCCAATATTTATTCAAATCCAAAGAACTAACAAGTAGTCATATATATATATATATATATATATATATATATATATATATATATCGCCCAAATAAATAATTCTGAGTAAATAAAATACATCCCCCCAAAAGAAATAAGAAAAGAAACCCAAAATATAACAAACAAACGATGACGACGACTCACAGTGACTTGGATCTCATTCATCATCGGAGAAAGACGGAACATCTAACGATGACGACGACGCACCATTCTCACCACTGGGCTTCTTCTCACCGTTCCCTCCTGATTTCCCATTTCTCTTTTCCACAAAAGCCGCCACTCCACCGCCGCCGACGCCTCCTTTTCCCGGACCGCCGCCACCGACACGTCCCTCCTAACCCAGAACACGGCTTTTAATTCATCGAGTGATTTCCAGCACATCCTTCACATTTGCATCGATCATATTCAGCATCTCTCCAGTGGACGGGTGAGCACTGTACCTAGATCGGGTGCTTTCCACAGTCTTCTCCGAACCATGCTTCTTTAGTGAAGCCACCACGCCGCCTATTTGAGCCGTCCCTTCCGCACTTCCGGCGATTAGGCTGGCTTTGGAAAGAACTTCCCAAATCCGGCCAATAATTTTGATTTTCCCCCAATCTCCCATTCTCTCTCGTATCGCACCGAATCGAAACTAATTTTTCATGTTTTTTTTGTTTGACTGCAGAGAGAAGGCAGGATGCAGAAGGAGGAAGGAGAATTCTATGGGAAGAGATGTTGAACAAGACAGACGAAAATACTGGACGGAGGGAGTATATATACTATATACCCAACTCCCTATATTTTCCATTTTAACCCCACCCGCACCCAAATAAATAATTTTGAGTAAATAAAATACACCCCCCCCCAAAAGAAATAATAAAAGAAACCCAAAATGTAACAAACAAACGATGACGACGACTCACAGTGACTCGGATCTCATTCATCATCGGAGAAAGACGAAACATCAGACGATGACGACGACGCACCAATCTCACCACTGGGCTTCTTCTCACCGTTCCCTCCTGATTTCCCATTTCTCTTTTCCACGGAAGCTGCCACTCCACCGCCGCCGATGCCTCCTTTTCCCGGTCCGCCGCCACCGACACCTCCCTCCTGACCCAGAACACGGCTTTCAATTCTTCGAGTGATTTCCAGCACATCCTTCACATTTGCATCGATCATATTCAGCATCTCTCCAGTGGACGGGTGAGTACTGTACCTGGATCGAATGCTTTCCACGGTCTTCTCCGAACCATGCTTCTTCAGTGAAGCCACCACGCCGCCATTTCCGCACTTCCGGCGATTAGGCCGGCTTTGGAAAGAACTTCCCAAATCCGGCCAATGTTTTTGCTTTTCCCCTAATCTCCCATTCTCTCTCGTATCGCACCAAATCGGAACCAATTTTTCATGTTTTTTTTGTTTGACTGCAGAGAGAAGGCAGGATGCAGAGGGAAGAATGAGAATTCTGTGGGAAGAGATGTTGAACAAGACAGACGAAAATACTAAACGGAGGGAGTATATATACTATATACCCAACTCCCTATATTTTCCATTTTAACCCAACCCCCCACCCACATAAATAATTTCAAGTAAGTAAAATACAACCCCCTAAAAGAAATAAGAAAAGAAACCCAAAATGTAACAAACAAACGATGACGACGACTCATAGTGACTCGGATCTCATTAATCATCGGAGAAAGACGGAACATCGGACGATGACGACGACGCACCATTCTCACCACTGGGCTTCTTCTCACCGTTCCCTCCTGATTTCCCATTTTTCTTTTCCACGGAAGCCGCCATTCCGCCACCGCCAACGCCTCCTTTTCCCGGTCTGCCGCCACCGACCCCTCCCTCCTGACCCAGAACACGGCTTTCAATTCGTCGAGTGATTTCCAGCACATCCTTCACATTTGCATCGATCATATTCAGCATCTCTCCAGTGGACGGGTGAGCACTGTACCTGGATCGAATGCTTTCCACAGTCTTCTCCGAACCATGCTTCTTCAGTGAAGCCACCACACCGCCTATTTGAGCGTCCCTTCCGCAATTCTGGCGATTAGGCTGGCTTTAGAAAGAACTTCCCAAATCCGACCAATGTTTTTGCTTTTCCCCCAATCTCTCATTCTCTCTCCTATCGCACCGAATCGGAACCAATTTTTCATGTTTTTTT